ACATATCAAAGAGAGCCTCTTACGTAGCCAAACATACTTTTAAAAAATATTATCTTCAAAACATTGTATAAATTAATTTATTTTTGTCTGTAGAAATAAAAAGTTTTGGCGAAACTTTTGCATGACTGAAAAAGTCAAAAATGATTTATTTTGAGGGTAAAATTTTGGGCCCGAATTTAGCAAAGCAAACTGTATCATTTTAATTCTGCTGAAAATATGAGCAATTTTTGTCACACCACTTCCTACCCAAAGTCAACCCAATTTGAGAAAAACGCATTTTAAATTTGTAGTTTTATGTGTTTTGTCCTGATAAAAAAAATCAACCTTATATAATACCAACATTACTAAAAAAAAAAGAAGTTGAAATCACAAATTTTCAATAGTTATCTGTGACAATAATCTCTGCTCCGATATTTTAAAAACAATTTCAAGAAGATATCAAATTTACCAAAAAAATCTTGTGTACTTTGCTTAACGACAAGTTTTTAGAGTCAAAGTCCTAAAATTTTGGCAACTAAATACCAGAAGAATGCCATCCATGACACAGTAATTTAACTTCAGTTCATTTTTCCGACTTGAAGACTAGAACTGAATGCTATCCTTTTTTTCTTTTACTTCAAGCGGATTGAGCTGTTAACAATTAATATCAATGATAATTTTAACACTGGAGACCAAATTCTCAATCTGCTCTTTCATGTTCTGTGGATAATCACGCGTAAACTAAGCAAACACTATTTCAGAGGACGGCCATTGAGCTGAAAAAAAGTTGCCAGAATAAAACTGCTATCAATGTCTTTTTATAAAGTTACAGAAGAATGCAAAGACAAAACAAAAATTTTTTTCCAAAAATAAGATCAAAAGTATTTTAAATTTACAAGAGCAAAAAATCTGAAAAAAAAGGTAACTTTTGCCAGCGACCTGAAGATGGTATTTTTTCCTAGTTCGATATGATTAAGAAGATTTTCCCCAAGGGAAAGCACCAACATACGAGCAGTTCAGCTCTTCGCGGAGAACCGCTGTTGTGCCCCTGGTCACGATTTACACGCATTTTTTGTGCTATTTGTCTGGGCTATCATGGTGGGCCTCGAACATCCGACCTTTCGATTGAGAAGCGGAGACGTAACAACTTCACCACTTGTAATTACTTACTTTGTTGTTGCTCTCCTTGCTGTTATGACTTGAAGTCAATTTAGCTCCATATAAAGTGTTTCTCCGGCTCTTTTGATAGGCTGAGCTAAGAGTTGATCCAAAATTAAGCCAAATACTATTAAAAAACACAGCATACCCTCCGGCCGAACTTAACGACTCCGGTTATTTAACGCATCTCGTTGATTCTCGGTCATGTTTGGGCAACCATCATGTATCTAAGTAACTCAGTATCTCATAACCAGAGTGTAAAGAGTTTCAATTTCAATCAATTTTTTTCCCACCACAACAGCGTCAAAATTGTCAAGCATTTTTATAGATGAATCCGGCTCCAAAAAAAACCACAGAGGCGAAGTGGAGCTTTGAACTACCTGCAATATCACGCAAATATAAGATTGTAAGTTAGAAGACAGAACAAAAGGAAGTCAAACAAAATTTACTTAAAAAAACATTTACAAAAACAACACACATAAATGAATCAGTAATCAGAAATATTAAGCATGCAGTGCTAGGCCGACAAAAAGTAGTTACACTCACATTGAATCGAAAACAAACTTGTGTTCATCAAAGAAATATTGAAAATTTAAGCTCCCGAATGAAATACACAAAAATATTTAAATCTATTTTGTCTTAAAACGATGCAAAATTAAGCCAATTAGTCGATAAACTTTAAGCACACATATTTGAGCCTAAAAATTTTTTACGCAAAACAAACAAAAAAATCACTCACAGTCTATTTTGCAAACAAGAATTAGTAAAGATTTTTTGCTGCAAGTAGTTTATTTCTAGTAACTTTTTTTAAAAATTTTGTAATTTGATTTCTGATATATACTAAGCAATCGCGATATTGCTCTAATAGATCGCGCTGAATGCATAATTTTTTGGTCGGCAAAAATTGCACAGGAATTTGTTGTTATCGCTAAATTGCACAAAAATTCTCAGTTATTTAAAGCCGTGGCAAATCTGTAGAAGTTGCATAAGAGTTTCTACGGACCTGCAAACTCAATTGTTCTTGCGACAACCATAATTTTCTCATTTTTTTTCAATGATCACAAATCCAGTCGTGCGCCGCAACCTGGATCGTTTCATCTCAAAAATAATTTGCCAGGGTAAAAAATTAAATAAATAATATTTATAACAATAACAATTGCCTTAGTTTGAAAGCTTCAATCAAAGCTTCTTGTAGGCCAAAAAATTTACCATATTTTTTATGATTCGCTTTTGGAGTTTTAATTTTTTCTTCAAAAATTACGAAATTTTGTTTTCAATTTGTATTTTTTTCACCATTTCGAAATTTTGCTGTCAGTTTTCATGATTATTTTTGCTGAATTATTGAGTTTTTCTTGTACAGTAGATGGCCAATATTGTTGGCTGGAAGGAATTAAACTATAAAGTAGGGTACGTTTCTTCGAGGAAAAATTAAAGCGAGTCAAGCCTATTGGCTGTGACCAAGATTCTAAAAAAATCAAAAATCAAAGTTTATTTTTCGTTTTATAATTTAAATTAGACAAAATTCGATGAGAGGCTGACCTTACAATTGACTCTACTACAATATTAATTTTGAAGTTATTTAATTTATAGTTACTGCTCTTTATTGCTCGTTTCACCTAATTGAATTGTCTTTTTAAGAAAAGTATCAGAAAATTAGTTTTATTGAATATCTTTTTTGATTTTTTTATTAAATTTGTCTTTTTACGGACATTTGGTGCTATTTGCACAGCAACCGGATATTTTTGTTTTCGTTCTGAAGTGCTTTCTACGGTGCTGATTCAAATTGTCCGGACAAAATGAATAAGACATGAAATTAAAAACGCGTATCTCTAAAATTGCGTTAACTTTAAGAACAAAATGATTAAGACAAAATTTGCATAAAATTCAGTATTAATAATAATACCCCAAATAATACCTCAAAATGGTTAATTTTTTGGCTTTTTCAGTCAATCAATAATTACGCCAAACTACTAGGTCGATCACTGACATAATTATATAAAGTGAGCCTCTTACAGAGCCCAGCAAAACTTAACGAGGGTGTATTCTCCGAAAACATTGAGTAAATTGTTTAAAAATTGATTCTAACTAAAAAATTTTCTACGCTTTTTTTCTATGCTTTCTGGCTTCTCTCATTTTTCTACGCTTTTTGTCTATCAAACAAAAATACATTAATTTATAAAATGTTTTGGTGAGTATACTCGTTTAGTCTTCCACAGATTTACACATATCAAAGAGAGCCTCTTACGTAGCCAAACATACTTTTAAAAAATATTATCTTCAAAACATTGTATAAATTAATTTATTTTTGTCTGTAGAAATAAAAAGTTTTGGCGAAACTTTTGCATGACTGAAAAAGTCAAAAATGATTTATTTTGAGGGTAAAATTTTGGGCCCGAATTTAGCAAAGCAAACTGTATCATTTTAATTCTGCTGAAAATATGAGCAATTTTTGTCACACCACTTCCTACCCAAAGTCAACCCAATTTGAGAAAAACGCATTTTAAATTTGTAGTTTTATGTGTTTTGTCCTGATAAAAAAAATCAACCTTATATAATACCAACATTACTAAAAAAAAAAGAAGTTGAAATCACAAATTTTCAATAGTTATCTGTGACAATAATCTCTGCTCCGATATTTTAAAAACAATTTCAAGAAGATATCAAATTTACCAAAAAAATCTTGTGTACTTTGCTTAACGACAAGTTTTTAGAGTCAAAGTCCTAAAATTTTGGCAACTAAATACCAGAAGAATGCCATCCATGACACAGTAATTTAACTTCAGTTCATTTTTCCGACTTGAAGACTAGAACTGAATGCTATCCTTTTTTTCTTTTACTTCAAGCGGATTGAGCTGTTAACAATTAATATCAATGATAATTTTAACACTGGAGACCAAATTCTCAATCTGCTCTTTCATGTTCTGTGGATAATCACGCGTAAACTAAGCAAACACTATTTCAGAGGACGGCCATTGAGCTGAAAAAAAGTTGCCAGAATAAAACTGCTATCAATGTCTTTTTATAAAGTTACAGAAGAATGCAAAGACAAAACAAAAATTTTTTTCCAAAAATAAGATCAAAAGTATTTTAAATTTACAAGAGCAAAAAATCTTGGAATGCAATTACCTGCACATAAACAGAGCACATCAAAAAGAATTTAAATTCTTACATAATGCTTAAATCAGAGGCACAATCGGTGCTGCGACAACTAAGCTGAAAAAAAATGAAGATTTGTCACCAAACAATTAAAAAAAAACAGGTTCTAGCCGGATTTGAACCACGGAGCTTTTATATGAAAGCTGAGTTGTTTAATGATTCAACTAATTCTGTCAAACTAGTTCTTAACCTGAAAAAGTCTATTTTCACTTTTTTAACGCTGTACCTTTTGCCTTCCAGGCATGATCTCCGCTAGGCTAAAAAACCTCTAACTCGTCTAATTTTTGAAAGATAATTTGCATATTGTGTAGTCATGAAGATCCTCTAACAGAAACCAAATTCTCTTGTTTAATGAAGTGTTTTGATTTCACTTCTATTACCGCATGGGATGTTTGAAGTTATATTCGGTAACAGAAGTAAGCTTGATGTACTCGTCATTTTTATGTCATCATTAAAATAAAAAAAACATCCATCGCATTCTTAAATATGCTGTTTGAATTGTTTCCATATTTTCTTTTCATTAATTCCAATTAAATTTTAAAATCACAACGCTCAAGTTAGGTTGCAGAGCAAACATACAAATGGCGATAAAGCTCGTCTAGTTACTTAACAATACAATTGGTAGCTTTGCTAATCAACCCAAGTTTGACAGAGCAAACAAAACTTACCAACTCACATGGTCAAATTCATAAGTTACCATGGCAAACTGCGAGATATCTTGTATTAATAACTAACATTCAAACAGCGATTACTGCAGTATTCAGTAGCTAGTTCTCAAATTCCATTAAATGTTCGAATGAAAGCTTAGACCAATTTGAATTGTAAAATTTGCGATAAAATTTGACTAATTTGTGATACCAACTGTCGCATTGAATTAATCGTTTTGAGCTGAGGGTGAAATTGAAATTATCACAAGATGGTGGTGAGCATCATTTTCGACGTGATCACCGGGTCGAAGCAGGGCAACGACGGAGACTTCAACGACCGGCTCAACCACCGCTATTCGGCCATTGTGCTCGCATTCTGTGCCATATTCGCTATGTCCACCCAGTTGATAGGTCAGAATACAAAAAGCTTATAAAAAAATCCGCATCCACAATTAAGTGGAAAAAGATTTGATCTTCTATCATATGTATGAAAACTAGCGCATTCAAACTGGGAAGTTAAATTGTCGCAAAAAAATAACGAAAACGGACATGTTTCAAGGGAGGATTTTGTCAAGAAAAAGGACTGGTCGACAAATTTAAATCAAATACAAGTGCCCTCTTAAGACAGAAACAATGACCCAAACATTTTTGCGATGTAGATTGATTGATTCGAAATGACAATTGTCACTTTTTGGATACTTTTGAAGATCCCTCCGTCCGTTAAGTTGACTTTAAAAATATAAACGCTTTACCGTAAAAGTGCCGGTCAGACAATATGTATTACCTTCACTCAGTCCCCCTTCAATCCTCCGAGGGGAGAGCTGCGTACTCTTCCGCTCCCCTAACTCTAAAAATCCAGGAACATTTCACTATAATGAGTTACAACACACCATTCACAAAACGTCTAACCTATAAGAATTTTCATACAAAAAAAATTGCTGAATATGGTCAAAAATATTCAAACTTCCTCCCATCGCTGATAAAATTAATGCACAGCACACTCATCTTAAGACTTAAAAAATAAATGATTTGAATAATTTGAATTCATATCTAAATTATTTTATAATTACTTCATTTTATTCTATTTAATTGCGAAAATTCCAATTCTTACAGCTTGAACTTCAGCACAAAAGCCTTGGAATTGTGAATTCATAAAATTTGGGGTCATGTATTTGATCAGAGTTTCAGTTTTTTATACAAGTTGTCAATATCATCCAGATAGTTCCTCTTCGTAATGGTCGTACAAGCTAATGCTCCAGTAACTATAGCTGGCACAAAACCGCAGCACCAGGTATCTTGACCTGTGACATACAAGCCTCCGATTTCAGTTTTGAACCTTCCTATTCGAGAAAACTCTTCTGAATATCTGTTCATCCCGTGACTCATCCCATAAATCTCCCCGTTATTCGCATTCAAGTAAAAATTACTTGTAACTGGCGTTCCCATTTCAAAAACTTCCACTTTATCTTCTAATTGTGGGAAACTTTTCAAAACCCTCTGCCAAATTTTTCGGCCCAATGCTTCTTTTAAACTCATGTACTGATCGCCCCGTTTAGTAGTCGGCTTGTCATTCCACATCTCAAACCAGGAGTACGGGCATAAAGTGATTACAGTACATGTGCTAGTAGGCGTCTCTTGATTTGCGTCGAACGATCGATCTTTAGCTGAGGGGAAACTAACATAAACAAATGGTAAGCTCAAATTATCCACTGCATTCCAAGGGTCTTTTTCACCAATCCAGGTTTCGTAAAGTTCCTCGAAGTTCAAGCTATCAAACATCCATGAATTGTAAGCCGATAACCCTAACTCTTCACTGGTGGCATTGTTTGACAAATTCTGTCTATATTTGGACATATTTTAGGCACAATTTCTTTAGGAGGCATCAGTTTTACGAAAGTGTTGTGAAACCCAGCAGATGAAATGACTATTTTGGCATTCACAGATATTGCTTCCTTGCCCGCTATTAATACATTGACACCTTTGCAGACTAATTTTCCGCTCGGCGTTCTGTCCAAAATGAAACTGTCTACGTTCGATCGGACGCAACACTTTCCGCCATATTTTAAAATTCCCTTCACAAGATGATACGGAATGATTGAGGGTCCGTGCTTGGGATAAAATCCTCCTGATTTCACATAATGATCAGCAACTGTTATGTTAAGGAACAGACTGAGATACTTCGAAGGCAATGCTAGGGTTCCGTAAATGTACTCGACACAGGCTAGAACCTCTGGATTATCTGATATTTCATAAAGCACTTCTTTGGAAGTTTTGCGGAAATAGTAGAGCCAAGATGACAGAGATTTGGCCATCGGAAGTTTCGACATGCGTTTAACTACAAACTCCGGAGCAACTTTCATAAATCCGAATGCAAAAGCCGCATCTTTTGCACCCGTCATAATTTCTTGTAATTTGTCGAAAACTTTTTCATTTCCGGGAAACTGTTCATTTAATTTTTGCTTCCACTTTTCATATCCAGCATAAATATCTATAGTTTTAAACAGTTTCTCGTCATCAGGATTGCCGATTTCAATTTTATCGAATCTTTCATCCATGGGGTACCACGTGATTTGACCTTCTGTCAACTGGTCCAGCAGTTGGCAAAAGTTTTCATCACCTTTCATATCGCCAACATAATGCAATCCGGTGTCAAACTCAAACCTTCCTTTTTTAAACGTATGACAACCGCCTCCCAGTTTCGTATGCTGCTCGAATAACAAGACTTTATACCCGTGTCTAGACATAAGCGATGCTGCTACTAAGGCACTTGTTCCTCCCCCTATTAAAATGACATCTGGCTTGATTGAATGCAGTTCAGCTTTGGTTGCAACCGGGGGACTTAAGATGGCGGCCTTATCAGAGGGAACTTTATTGTCGTCCCCCATCGGTTTACGTTGGTCTTCGGTCAGAATGTTGTTCTTGATTCCGATCACGCCATCTAACTTGTTTGTGTAGAAAAGCAGGAGAGGCGTGAATATAATTAAGTTCAAAACAACCCAAAAGAGCACTTCAAGAATGAACCAGAAAAAGGCAGAGTCCATTGAACATCTGAAAAGCGACAACAAAATTAAAAACATCAACCACTGCATTTGACCACTCAACTTCAAAACAACGACGATACTCATCATAATAGCTTCGAGCCAATAATTTCGAACCAATTGAAGATAGATAGATTGGATTTATCTTTCGCAGAAGAGATACCACCCTGATAATAAATAATTGAACTGTGCAAAAAGAACATACTTCGGACATAACTAACTTGCCCTTACTCACAGAATCACTGCTCCAAAATAAACTCAATTAAATCGGGAAAACTTACCCTAATTTAAAACCAAATGACCTGTTATTCCAGGGAGTCCGTTGAACTGCTGGGCACCTGGTAACTTCCACCCCGGCTGGGTGATGTATGCTGACAACGTGTGCTTCGTAAATAAGACCTACTACATCGCAGACGAGGATCACGTGACCCTAGCGAGGAAGGAGGGGGACACTGTGTATGTGGAGTTCTACCAGTGGTACCCTGTCATTCTCGTTCTCATGGGGGTGCTGTTCTACGCGCCTCAAATGTTCTGGACTGGCATGCTCGGCTCTTACGGTAAGTTTGACTTTTCAACTATTTATTTGGACGGCAAGTTTCTCAAAAAATCATTTATATGAGAGCTTAAAAAGATCACTTTCTGAAATACGCAAAAATCGAAAACACGCCCCTGCTTCAATATCTGACTTTAATCTATAAAAACGGTTAGATTTTTTGGGCTAGAAGTTTTTTGTGGGTTAAATCAAAATGGGTGATAAATCGCCTCGGCCAAACTGCATCCCTAAAAGTTTCCTGTCACATCAATTGGATCCGGGTAACTCAGCGTTATCGTCCGCGTCGGGAGTAGAAAACCTCTACTTACTTTGATCGGATCCCTTCAACTATCCCTCCCACTCCCTTCCCCTATGGTAACAAAACGCAGCCCCTATCGAAAACAAGTTCAAGAGTTAAGCTAATGAAAATTTTGTACCGAGTTACGAACCATCCCCCTTCCACCTGGACAAGGGGAATAGTTAAAGAGATGAATTTCATCTGTCATGTTTTCATTTGTCAAAATGAGTTTCATTTTACTCATTTTTCAACACAGAGATCGACATGAACAAAATGGTGAACACAGTCGACAATTGTGAGCTGATCATGAAGCCAGAAGATCGGAAGAACTCCCTCATGGATCTGGCCGGGTTTCTGGATAAACATCTGGAAGCCAAAAAACGACTCTCCGACATAAATAAGAAGAACGGTACAATTGCAACAAATATAAAACCACCTAAAATATAATACTTTTCTCCGTTCAATAATTTGTCTATTTTAGTCAACATTGTGAGCAAGGCTTTATTCAAATGCAGAGACAAGTAAGTCAATATTATATGCTAAAATTTGCTAGTAAGGAAGCAAACAGCAATTAACCAACTGAATATTGGGAAAACGTTACTAATTGAAAGCATTTCCAGGATAACTTGGCACATCTCAAACAACAACAGCAATTAACATTTAAATACTTCATGTTGCAAAACATTTCCATTTTATTTTTTTTTGGTGCCAAAGCAATTGTTTCATGGTTTTAAATCATAAAGTGCAAACACAAACTCACTCACGGAACCTTGAAAAATTGCTAATACTAAGTCTTAAATGATGCAGCTATAGATGCTTTTAAATTGACAATGCTATGCAGCAAAAACGCCATCAAACGTCAATAAAACTAGTGCTAAGAGCGAAGTTGAACCTCCGACCAGTAGATAAGGCACTTCACGTCTTTCCATTTTTTTCCAAGGACTCTCACCGATCGACAGAGACTAGCCACAGATAAAGCAGACAGCCGATGCTGTGAAATTTACAAAGCTACATATCATGATTATAGCGAAATTGCCATCAAAAGAGATTTTTTAATTGCGAGTTAGGTTGTCTCAAGCCAAAAAAATTGCAGATGTAATAATTCTGTGCACCTTATTCGACATAGTTGCAAATTCTACAGAAAAATTTCGCACACAAAGTAGTAAAGTTCCGAATTCTTATTTTAATTTTACAAAAAAACTAAAACTCGTTCAAAAAAACAAAAGTAGAAAGACCCCGAATGTTCCGACTGCCCCGTAATCGGCATTGAATAGTTATAGGTAAAAAACATATTCAAAAACTTAAAACTTAGACAATATCAAACATTAAGCTTGAAAAAGTGTGTAATACGAAAGTAATCCGACCAATTAGCTTGCCTCAAGTCAATTTGGAAAATTTCTGTGATGCGGGATAATTCGCCACGCATAAATCGCGTTATGTCTTCAGCATCATAAATAAAACCTTAACAGAGCGCCTAAGATGATTATTGCAGTTAACTCTTAAATTACAGGGACTCCGGGGCGAGCATGGGTACGTACTACTTGATTGTGAAAATAGCCATGGTAGTGAACGTAGTCGTGCAGATCTACGGACTCAACTGGATCATCGGTCCAGGCACCTGGAAGTGGGGCTTCGAGGTCCTGGGATGTATTCTCAGTGGGCAGCAATGGACCGACACTTGGAGATTCCCGATGACCGCTTTCTGTGACTTCCAGCGTCACGAAGCCATGGGTACTTTTTACACATACAAAAGCCATCAATATCATGACTTAATATCAGAAAAGAAGGTTCAAGAACCAATTCACATTGATTTTAAGCTCAATGCTTACAGATGAAAAAATATTATCGAAAAACTTCAACACTTAAAGTTGCGCTCGCTCTATAACTTGAAAAAATCGATTTTTTTTATTATTGATTGATTCTAAATTTAGTCTTAATTGAGCTCCTTGAAATATCTCGGTCCCAATGCACTGTTTCAGGAACTCGACACCAGGAGACTGTGCAGTGTGTGTTGGGAGTGAATCTCTACAACGAGAAGATATTTCTCTTCGTCTGGTGTTGGCTGTACTTCATGCTGGTGATGAACCTCATGTCTGTGTTCAACTGGATCAGCACTCTATTCGCCAGCAACAGCCGATTCCGGTAGGAACCACTGTGCTAGAGCTAATTCTTAAACTAATCTATTTCAAATGTTCGAGCTCTTCACTTAAACGAGTCTCATAAAAACGTACTTTTTCTAAGGATTCACCCTTTTTTACTCCCCTTCTTAATTAAAACCAATCAAGTATATTACTTGGTTTTTTTTCCAGAAAACTAATAAGTCTAATTAATGTAGTGATAAGTTTCACACAGAGGCGAAGCAGAGCTTCGCATGACTTGCCTCACAATACCAACATAAAAAAGAAAAGATTTCGAAAGAAAAACGCTAGAAAAAACGTATTATTTGAAAAATTTGAATATTAAATTAGCAACAAAACGAATCTTTTGAGGAAACAAAGCCGACAATCTTTGAGCAGACACAATAGAAGCCCAAAAAAATTATTGCATTTCAAAAATTAAAAACTTTCAAGTCCCCCTGAAACTACATTAAACAATACTTACACTTACAAGTTCACTGAAAGTTGTTTGATAAACAAGAAAAATCAGTATCTGCAATAAGGGAACTAAGCCGACAACCCTAGAGCAGCCACAAGTTGGTCCATAAGAAAAACATAAATAAAATAGATTTATAAAAATTTTCAAGTCCCCCTGAAACTACCTAGAACAACAATTGCTCTTGCAAGCACAATGAAATTTTCTTACAGCACAAGAAAATTGTGTGATGTGACAACCAAACAAACAATATTAGAGCAGACACCAGTTGAGCCAAAAAAAACATATGTTGTATTCGATTTTTAGAATTTTTTAAACTACATTGAACAACAACAGAAGTTGCCTAGAGCACGAGCCAAACCTGTGATGTGGCAACTGAGCTAACTTCAGCAGACAAGCGGAAATCCGACAACATAATTTTTACTGGAAAAAATCAATTGCATTCAAAATGATTTTAAAAAATGTCCCGCCGGGACTCAACCCCGAACATTAGGGTTCAAATGCGACTGTTACCTCCAGGCCAAGTAAACATGAACCTGAAAGTTCTTACGCTTCAACAATAAAACAAATAAGATAAGCAAGTAAGATTTGGAAAATTTGTTTACGGGAAAAAAAGTCTACACTTGTGGGCAAAATTAAGCGCAAAGTTAAGACATTTTGTCTCCAAAATGCCTGTTTTCAAGGATAATTTCGGAGAGCATTCACTGAGGAAAAAAAAACAAAATTTTTTGCATAGACCGAGAAAAAATTGATCAGAGCTGCTCTCCGTAAAATTATTATATCTCGGGTTTAAGGACTCACTAGCTGTTTCCAGTTTTTCCCATCTGCATTAAGTTTTACATCGGAGTGAACTCTTGGACGAACAAACGGAGGAATAAAATATTCACGCGATGTGAAAAATTCGATGTGAGTTAGAATTGTTCATAGTGAAAACTTTACTAAAGTCAGCTGTTTTTTACAATTTCACGCGTTTTAAAAAAAAATAGTACACTTGGTAAAAAATGGTAAAGTACACTTGATAAAGTCGAATTTTCAAACCTTGAAAGAACTGGTAAGTCCTTGAAACCAAGATATAATAATTTTATGCAGCTCTGATCATTCTCTCGGTCTATGCAAAAAATGAAAACAGGCATTTTAGAGAAAAAACCTGAATTTGCGTTTAATTTTGTCCTCTACTGTAGTCCCTTCCCGATAAGAAGACAGTTGCTTTCGCAAGAGTAATGAGAATTAAGACGGTATATTGATTGTAAGGTGATAAGTCGATTACGGTAAAAAACAAAGTAGAGTACAAGATTGCAACACATTAGCTGATCGCAATTGTAATAATTCACACAAAGGCGAAGCTGCGCTTCGCAAACATTAGCGAGAGCACGACAAACAGCAGCTCTATAAAGTGCATAAGAAAAAGTAGAAATAAGCCTTGTATTAGTAAAATTTGGCTACTTATCGGATTCGATCTGCAACATGAGATTATGACTGTCACGCACTAACCACAGCCACGGACCCTTAATAAATGACAAACATTAGCCACAAATAAAGCAAAGAACAGATGGTTATGAAATTTCCAAAGCTACAGATCGTGATTATAGCAAAAGTGCCACCAAACAAAAGAACACTTTTATTTGCGAGTTAAGTTAGAAAAAATGAAGATTCGTACTAATACACTAACGCTCGCTGCTCTGAAAAGCAATAACTATATTGGATACCGCCAATTTTAATTACTGAATTGGTTTTGACAATATAATGGTTTATTTTTTGAATCGCCTGTTTTTCAGAGCTCTAAATTTGAGCAAAATTGAATCATTTCTAACTTGGAATAAATTTTAAAGGAGTTGACATTTCGCAAATTTTCAAAGCACAAGCCTTAAAAGAAAGGCGGATGAAGTACATCCATTAGATTGGAGAGTGCAATTGGAAAATTTCCAAAAACATATTCGGTTTCGTTCAATTCTCCAGATGGATTGAGAAGCACATTCTGATGGGAAACAGGACCAAGGGACCAGATCAGGTCACCTACATTCAAGAGAACGAAGAGAACCGTCGAGCACTGTGGGCATTTGTGATGAGCTTCCTCAAACCCGATGGGGTCTTCATGCTGAGGTTAATTTTGTTAATTGCATGTTAAAATTAATTTGAAAAATGATACAACGATTGCATATCTTAAAATGCAATATCAATTGCAATGCTATCGAGAGGGGGACAAATAAAGGCACGACGAATGAAATTAGTCCCCCTAGTCCTTATATTAGTCTCTAGAAGTTGTAATCTTATTTCTATTTATATTTTCAACTTTCGTATAAAAGTGCTGAAGGAAGAAAACAATCTAACTTATCTAAACAGAAATTTGATTTCAGATTGATTGCGGCGAATACAACTTCGATCAACATGACCGATTTGATATGCAATCTCTGGCATCTTTACACCAGGAAAGATCGAGTGAAAGAGAGGTTCCCAAAGCTCCCGAATATAACATCAATGGAGGAACACACGAAGACTAAGTAAAAACCTGAGCATCAGGAATTAGATGCTTAAACTAACTGAGAGGAAGACGTAGTTTTTATAAAGACAAAAAGTTTGGTCTGACATATTTATAACATTTCACTGAAATTTAAAGACTTGATTTTCATACGACTTTTCTTACACAGTTAAAGCTCGTGTCGCACCACTTGAGACACAAAATGAATGACTACAATTTATTTAAAAAAAGATTCGATTACTTCGCAACATTGAACTTATAACCAAAGTTCATTGATTATATAGCAAAAACTTTCCTCACGAATTAAGAAAAAATATCACTTGTGTACCCAAATTTAAGGAAAATGTTTTTCGCTTCTAAATTTGGTGACCAAATGAAAAAAAAACAGGCCAATTAAAATGGGCCCTTCCGTCATGCGACAGTACGCGCGCAGGTTGGATAGGGCCGTGCCAACGCTATATAAATACATCGGCAGTATTTTATGAATAAATCAAGTCGATTTTAATGCATCCAGAGAATTGTCAATTATAATTTACCCTCCTCGATTATAGCAGAGATAGAATTGTGTATGTTGGATGTATTTTTAAGTTTTTTTTACCCCCTAAGGCAGAGGATTGCACTCCTCAGAAGTGCAAAACTAATTTTTGTTCTTATGAAGTTTATTGTGTCTGAGTATAATTCGTTCCGCTTTTCGCTTAGTTTCTCTGCTAGCTTCTGGACGGTTTTTGTAGAGCCTGGTGCTGCTCCTCCTGTACACTGAAAAATTAGTGGAACAAAGGTGCTGTTTTCCACATCCAGAATTCTTTATTGTTATTTTAATGTTTTGACATTCTCATGATATTTGTAAGCGTCAAATATAGTTTTAGGGCAGCATTTAGCATGATGGTTGAAAATTTTTACATCGGAAAAGGTTCGGCTGAATCGGCCTCCTGAAAGTCCATTTGCCTTGCTGTCAAACCGAGCGTCATCATCAGTACTGGCTGTTTTGATGTGAAAGCTTTCGCCTTCCAACGATTGAAGTTTCGGATCTGTTTCAAGCCGCAAAGGTATCGCGAATTTCATTATGTCTTAGGTGAGTGTATCCACCTTTGGGACAGTGTAGAGAGTGGGTCAGTGTGAACGGTTGTCCACATGGGCATGTATGTGGAGTGTTTGGTGGTTGCCATCCATATCTCAGATTTATTCCATCTTTGATTTTTTGAGGGGAAAAATTATTTTTTAACGGTAGCACGCTTAGCCAGTTCGATGCTCCTTTCTGTGACGCTAGATTTTTTGTCAATTTTTTTCTGATGAACAGTTTTTCATAATTTTAGCCTTTTTCGAGAGATTGATGTTCTGTCTATAGTTTTGATGTTTCTATTTATCAGAGTTTGTTCCGTTTCAGCTATTTCTGAATCACTGTTTTCTGACGGATCACAAATGGCTCTTGACCACTCACAATTTCTGTAAAAGTCCATGTTGCTGAGGAGATCTAATCCTCCAATTCTTAGTAGTAGTGCAAAAAGGCTGCGATCTTCATCGGTAATATAGTTTTTACAAGTAAACTAGAAAGTAGCTGCAGTCTTACGTTTTTCTCAATTTCATCCATTTTGTTAAAAGTTTCCGGATTTGTTCTGGTTAGAGAGCTTAAGTTATTTTGAACTCCCTTTATGTAGCAGGAGTATACCTTTGTGGTGATATTTGTTTTAGCTATTTTGGAAATTTTGGAAGTTAGGGTAGCTGTATTTTCAATTTCGGTTTCCATGTATTTATCCCATAGTGATGGTGTTCCTATAACCGATCCAAGGACTCTAAAACCGTCTACCGTTGTAATATTTGTGCCTTCGAATACTTTTATTGCCCTTTGCTGTCGCTTTTCTCTACTATGAATTGACATTTGGGAGGCTTCACATTGTATTCGAAAGCTTTTCCGTTCACATCCAGGTTTTCCAGTATTGCGCGGAGATTCTTAAGATCACCTGCAGCGCTTTCGTCATCTGCGTACCATTTTTGGGTGACATTTGGTTTTTGCAGGAGCTCAATCAATGGGATTATCTCAAAAAATGTCAAAACCGGGTTATTGACATATAAGTTTTAGGGATGTTTATAAGAGTTGGCCAGCGCATGATGTAGTGCCGGACAAAGGGTTTCTACGTTTTTTAGAGAAACTTCTCTATTGAGCGAGTTGAAGGCATTTTCTGCATCAATAATTAGTATGTCGTCCGTTTTTGGTTTCTCAAACTCTTTCCTCAAGCTGTGGATAACATATTCGATTCCACATTTCTGGCCTAAGCAGAGTTGGAAATTTTTTCCGGGATTTTTAAGGTCTGATTTTACTAATTGGTTGATTTTCTTGCCAATTAATCGTCTCATAAACTCGCCTATACCAATGAACCGTACCCCTGAACTTTTGTCCGGATGTATCAGGCGACACGAGTTTTACGCCGTTAGGTTTTCATGGGGGAGAGCTTTACTTGCTATTGTATAGGACAGCTTCGCAATTGTTTTGCAAAGCTCAATGGATGTCTGGTTGAAGTGAGTTATTTTTGTTCTCCATTCGCACACATCTAGGCCTGAGGGACCGTGGCTTCCGTATGTTTTTAGGGTTGATTTTTGAACTGTCTTGTCGTTTATTTGTTCGAATTTAGAGTGGTGGTATGACATTGTGTTTTCACTTACTTCCGTTTTATAGTTTCTGTTCGCTGTTTTGGCGTGGGGGTGTTTTTCTTTCAGGATACTAAGGACTGTTTTTACATCATGACTTCGTTAAGGGGAAGTACTTTTTTTTATTTTCTTGTCTGAAAGGCAGCCAATGGCAACCGATATTTTGCCTGTACTGATTAGTTTATCGAATTGCTTAATTTCCTCGTTTACTTCGCACTTCTTCTGTTTTGGATGTCTAATTTGTAGAGATTTGCTTTGTTGAAAAGTTCGTCTAGTAGGTCTTGCTTTCATACACATATGCGGCAGCTCAGAATTTTAGAATTTTGATCCGTTTGTTTCTGATTTAGGTTTGGGAAGCAGCAGATGGGGGAGAATCATTGCTGCTTTCATCGCAACGTTAGAATTTGGTGTTTCTTCTACTAATGACAACAGCTGCTGGTTCATTAATCTAGGAATTGAAAACCAGGCTTGTTCTTGCTTAGAACTATGAAGCGCGGTTTCCAGTTAACGACATTTTTATCGTTTATTTTAATTTTAAGTTCTTGGTCGATAAGTTTCCAGGGGTCGCAGGGTCAGCACATTTGTGTTGAACTTAAGAATTATCAAATTTATTTAAAATCTACAATCATTAGCAAAACTTGAAACTGTAGATGAATTATCATTAAAGCCGGTTACTATAATAACACAGTTCAGTTTCTGCGAGGGGTAGCGCGAGACAGTACCGGCAAGGTCGGCTAGTTTTGCACCTCTGTACGAGTGAACCGTAGCTCCGACATCTTTGGGGCTGCAGTACTTAGTCCTTGAGGTTCCTATTAACAGTTTCCTGCTCCAGTTGGGTAGCCACTTCGGCCTGTACTTTGGCACGAACATTCACTAAACAAGGTACAAAGAGGCAAAACAAGAGAAAGACTAGATTGTAAAATGGATTGTAGAGAAATGGAGTTTAAAAACAATTCACAAAAAAAGAAATGAAAGCGATTACAGCCTGGTTTTTCAAGGGTGGAGGTTTCGGCGGGGATGTCCGGGTAGAGGGGGAGTATCGCGGCTTTTTGAGCTTGTCTTTAATATCCCGTACCGGCCTTCTTCTTACAAGCGTATCATTATGAGCGTACCATATCACATGAAACTACTTAATAAGTTTATCACAACAATTAGGCTATCACAGCAATTAGGATAAAAAATAAATAAAAAATATCACTTGTGTACCCAAATTTAAGGAAAATGTTTTTCGCTCCAAAATTTGGTGATCAAATGAAATGAGTCGTTTAAATTTTCTAAAATAAAATATAGCTAGTAGTTTCAACTAAGCGAAAAAAAATATAGGTGAACATCGCCATACTTGCAACCTTCAAAACACTTGCGATAAGACAAGCATAGCAACATTGTCTATTTCTAAGTTTTCGCTGTCTTTCTGGACTTTTGTTTTTTTTGTTTCATGCTTTTTGTTTCTTTTTCCGGTATTTTTGTTTGCTTATCATACTTTCCTTAGTTTTGGATTCCCGGTAGCTCTCTCAAATTGGTTAGCCAAGCCGCATATCCAAAACGGCAGCCGAGAAAATGTTCTCAAGTTTTTCCACTGCTGCTCTATTATCAGTTAAGCAAAAAAAAATTAAAGATTTGAACAAAAGGTTGCCGAAAGTTATCAGATCGAGCTGAAGACACAAACTATGTAATGAACTAGTTTTTAAAGTTTCCCGTAAGGAAAAGAAAGGCCTCATATCCAAAAAGGCAGCCAAGAGAAAAATTCTCAAAACTTTCTTAAAAGCTAGCACGGAACAACCAGGTGAGCACGTCCCAGTTGAATCTTACCGCCGGTTTTCTAGAATGAGGACATATCCCGGAGCAGTGTCTAGCAGTTTTGATTCTGCAGTTATGAGGTCAACACAAAAGAGTACCATAAAAACACTAAGTAACCTATCTCTCGTCTTTCAACATCTCCTTCTGTCAGAGCCGATTCGCGGTTGCAATTGAAAAGCCACTAACAAAACACCCCCACTCCAACCAAGTAGCAAAAAGATCGCCACCACGGCCAGTTCTCGAGATACTGAAAACACGCAAAAGCCGTTTATAACAGGGCTGGGAACCTCTTAAAGTTATCGGTTTTCGTTAGTCAGTGTGCATTTGATCCATTTCAGATAGAATAACCCAACGGTCACTCTAATTCAGCACACTGGGATAAAAATGCGCAAGTAATAAATTTCAGACGCTCAGGCAAAATAAAAACAACTCTGGAAATAACTCCAACAAAAAGTTTGTCTAGATTCAAATTCAGTAAGTAACCCCGGATATTTCATCAGTTTTACTCAATAATCAACTTTTGAACTGTTAGGTCAGTTCGTTGAGAAAGCTTCCCACTCTAGCTACAAATTGGTTCGCTTTTATGTACCAACTTTTAGACCGCTTGCCTGAAATTCTATTCTTGTCTTTTATCAAGAACAAGACAGACAACTCTAAATAAGTAAATTTTAACTAAACCAAATGCTTCCAAAAAAGTTTGAGTCCAACTAAAGGGCAGTCAGATTCTTTTTTGAATTTGGCTAAAATAGGAGCATTCTTGTGATTTTGTATAGAAGCACAATTATTATCAATCTGAAAACTTGGGGCGGTATTAAGACTATTTAACCCTCGGCGGTTGAATGAAACGAGACTGCTCGAAACGGGAGAAGCCTTGGATCTTACGACTGCTCCTTAACTAGTCTCGCTAAGTTTTTGTTAACTGAAATATTAACAATTTGTGAACTTTAGACTGATAATATCAATTTTTAAAAATGATAAGATGGATAACCTGCCAATTGATTCGATACTTCTAGTTACTCATTTTCAGATTAGCTTTCAGTCTATAGTTCGAACAGATGACAGGATATGTTTAATGTTAATCAATCTTGAGGTCAAAGTTGTGCTGCCACGCCAAAAAAACTAATCATAAATAGATAAAACTAATAAGGGTTATCCAATTCCCTACAGAGAATCAAATAAAAAATAACCCTGGTTCTAATAATCAAAAATCTTTATCAACCTTTTTTGATCAACCAGTCTATTTTATTACCAGCCTTTTTGACCAGCGAACTTTGGTTTTTTCAACTCATACTTTTTGCGTGCGTGATCGGCACGCGTAGATATTGGTTTCACGTAGAGCAGTCATTTGGCTAACACGTATCCATATTTGTCACTTAAAAGACAAATCGTAAAATAAGCAATTCGATTCAAGATGTGGTAAGGTGATGAAATGCTATAAGCTCATTTGAAAATAATATAGTTTCAAGAGTTTAATTCAAAACGAAACTTGGTTTTCTTTCAATCTGCGGTTCCGTGAACCAGCTCAGTTATACGTATCTTCATACGCAGAGCTCAACAACTAACTAAAGTCTAAACAGCGATCATTACTGCATGACCTTGACATAACTTAATAACAATATATATAATTACAGATACCGATATGCGTTCCAAGATTAGTGTGCAGCGAGGTTATGGTTACTGCACATGCAGTATGTGCTGTGCCACACTCCCCTTGGAATAACTAAATTTTATATAGTATACATAGAAAATTTAAAAAACTATGAGTTTTAACACTCAGTTTAATCAGTTTTCAACGGATTTTTAGTTTTTCTTGTTGCTATCATCTCTCACTGTTCCTCTGATCTATTTTGGTCCTCTGTCCCGTCTTCATCAAAATATAGTGGAACCCGCCATGCAGCATTCCAGGTCTTTGTAATATCCAGTGCCTCACTTCCAAACTTTCTTCGAAAGAGATGTTTTTCGAGCAATCCCAATTTCGTCTCTACCGGTTTTTTTACGTCAGATTTGAACGTTGCTAGTTTAACTCTGTATGCCTCTAGTGCTGCTTTGTTAAGATCTGTTAAATCTTGTTCTGACGTAATTAATTTGATTGAATGTTTAACGGGATTTCTGAAACGACTTGGGCCTTTGTTTTTCGTCTGTCTCTCGCTGCGTCTAACAGTAGATTACGATCAAAAAGCTTTAACAAGTTGTGCAAGTCATTGTCTTTTTGTGCCAGTCGGTCATGTCTGGGGGTTTGACCTTGAGAAATACGTAATTTTGGAGTGAAATTTTAATTTTGCAAAATTCGAATCGAGCCTGTCATGCTCAATTTTCTCGAACCAACTGAAAATGAAAAAGTCAGAAATCAGAACACCCGAATTAACAATTGCGGGAAACTACTCAAGAAAAAGGCAGGAAATTGCTGTTCGCAATTTCTCGAAACGAAATATCAAGAGAGTAGAGCTGTCTTGTCCTGAAAACAGGAGAATCGAATACGGACTTGAGACAGAACAATTATTCGAATGGAAAGGAGTGGACTCTGAATGGAAGAGTGGACAACTCGAGTGTCCAAAGGGTTCATTCAGAGACTTTGATTCTAGAGACAAAAACTTACTTCTGTTATTGAAACTAATTGGCCTTAAAACTTATTTAGTTATATTACTTAATTCTCAAGCTGCTCAGTTATAACTTACTCCTCATATTCAAGTGCGTCGATATGTAAGTTCCAATTTAAATTTCTCGAGTGTATTTTATGATAGTTATGTTGAGATAAGGCGAGTTTTAGGTTGATCCATCTGAAATGGATCAAAGTTCCACTGTCCAATAAAAAGTAACTAAGCGGATTGTTCCGACCCGGTTTTTAACGGCGTTCATGTATTTTGGGTATCCCGAGACCTAAGTATGGGGACGTCTTTATTTCTAGAGTGGGGGGGTATTTTGGTAGTGGCCTTTAAGCTGTAATGGGTTCCAGTCTCATGTCGCAAGCGAACCGAATTGGCTCCGACCGTTCTTGAGGCGGAAAAACACAAGAGATAGTGTCCCTGACTCTTGAGCCAATGGTTATAGGGCCTATTTTTCTTAAGCCTCATATGTGACTAAAGTAGGCGACTGTTACATAGTGTTTTTATGGCGCTCCTGGGTGTTTTTACGACATCATGACTACGGAGTCGAACCCACTTGACACAGCTCCGGGCTACATGCCCATTCTAGAGTACCGGTGGTACGGTTCAGCGGGAACGTGTAAACCTTCCGGTCGTACCGTGATAGCTTTTTAAGAAAACTCAAGAAAACTTCCTGGTACGCTCTCCGAACGAGGCTTAGCTAACCGAGTAAAGGGGGGCAACTAGGGGGACAAAAACACGAGCAAAAAAGGAAAACAAATAGGAACAAAAACTATAAAACGAAAAAAGACAGTGACTTTGATACCAAATTAGTTGGATCGAACCTTTGTATTAATTAAATAGTATACACATACTGTTTTACAAGACCGATCGTTTCGATCAATCTAGCAATTTTTCGATCAACTAGCAGTGACCTTGGTAGGGTGCCCGAGTGGGGGGCGTTGTTAAGGGTTTTTAGATAGATTGCGACCCAACCGGACCACTGGGAGACTTGACTGGAAAGGGTGACCAGTCGAGTGGGAAAGAGGTTCACAAGGATCGAAACGGACCACCAAGAGACTTGATTGGAAGAGGTGACCAGTCGAGTGGGAAAGTGGGTCTGCTGTCAAGGGCAGAACAGAGACAACCAGCACAGGGCCACCACAAGAGGACGCACAAGGGTGTTCTCAGGTCGGACAACGGGTATCGTTAGAATCCACATTACATTATAAGAAATAAGTGTAAAATTGGATAAGCGGAGTCCCATTGTTTTTAGGCAGTTTTTACTCAAGCAGACCTGGAAACAGGTCTACGGTTTTCTCAAGAGAGGTTTAGCACCCGGCGCTTAAGGGATTTTTCGGCTTAAGAGGGGGGCTAAACAGGGGGGAGGTTAGCAGGGGGACTGGTTAGGTTAGAGGTTGGCGGTTGTAAATTGTAAAAAGGGGGGAATTAGAGTAACTAGTTAATCGACATCGTTGATTTAGTTACATTAGCCATCAACACGCGTGGTAACAATAGGTGGACATCCAAAACTTATCTCGAGTTAAGATTGGTACGCTGGTTGGATCGGTAGGGGGGAACGGATATAGACAGTTTTCGTGACACCTCATAAGACGACTAGTGGGGGGAGGAAAACGCGTGGCAATTAGGTACCAGACATTTTTTTTTTTTTTTTTGAAAGAAGGTTGACATTTGTCTCCTTTGAATTTTAGGTGGGTCGATTACTCTGTTTTGTTATTTTTTCGGTACAGAATTTTATTTTTTCTATAGACATTG